CTTAACTTCTTTGATAACTATGATCTACATGTTTCTTAGATTTCTTTGGTAATTTTGGATCTGTGAGAGATTTACAATAATTTTTTTCTTTCCTATCATCATACAATTGAAACCTTTGTTTTTTGTAAAATTTTCTTCTACATTTGTACAAAATTGATCTTTCTCTCTGCCTAAAATAATTCTGTCTATTTTGTTGCTGTTTCAGAAGATGTGCTACTTTACTTCCCTTGACAACAGGTGCCCCTACAGCCTTACACAGTTCTACAGTGGAATTGCCACATCCCTTATTTAAAGTATGAATAACTCTATGAATTCTTGGTTCAAAATTCCTACTGTAAGTTATACACTTAGAATTTGATCTGAGATATGCCCTATTTACAGATTCACATTTTTGAGTTGTAGTGTGAAATTTAATTCTAGATAAACTTTTTCGCCCTAATGTCAAATTGATACAGTCTCTTAGTAATTGTTCATCACTGTCAGACATTTTGATTTTAAAGTCCTTTGGCAACACCGATGAAGTCCAATGATTTCTTTTTAGACCACGACAAGCGAAAGAATGTCTCTGGCACGGTTTACCACACTCACCTCGATAGCACGATATGATGGCATCAACAGCATAGGACAGGGCATTGGTAAGTTTTTGCATATCCCCACCAAAACACTTGTGAGCCTTTTCATATTCTGATCGACATCTGGTTTTTAGGTCCTGGGCGAATCGTTTCTTAGCTGATTCTCTGTCTGCTTTGGTACGGCCTGGAAACATGCGCTCACCGAAGGGGGCTTTGCTGGTTTCCTTCCTCTGGGACTCGAAGAAGTGCCTCAGGTCCTTCAGGTTTTCGATGTTTTTTCCCTGCTTTATGGATGCTCCCTGGGATGCCGCACTGTCTCCGTCTGTTGTTAGGTGTGATATGGTAAGAGGGTCTTCATCCTTGTTCAGTTCTTCTATACATTCAGCTGCCCACTGTTTTTCATTACCAATGTTTGTCTGTTGTGTAAGATTGGCAGTGCATCCTGTGTGCCCGGGACAGGTAACTTGTTCGCCTTTCCCCCTCATATATTCACCCTTCTTGCATAACTTATTTCCACAAAACACTGAAATAATTTTTTTCTCACTAGTAACATTTTCACACATAGTATAAGTCACTTGTGTACCTGCTTGGAATGGTGTTTTCCCCAGTGCACTAAATGTAGAGTTGTTGTATCTGGCATCCCCCTCCGCGCGAATTGATGAATTAACAGGAAGTCCACATTCAGAGTTTTTTTCTTTCAAAGATTTTCTTATATCGGTCATACTCCTTCGGTTAACAGAACTAATTTTTTCCCCCACTTTATTCGCAGTGTCCTGCATAGAGCTTGCTGACGCTGGGTGGATATTGGCTGTCAGAAGCATTCCTCGCATCCCCTCGGTAGTCAGACTGGTACCCATACGCCCAAGGGACATGGCTACATTCAGCCGAGCAGCCCTCCTTCCTGGTCGGGTAGATGTTACTTCCTCGTATAACTTCTGATGGTGACTTTGGTAGCCACAGGTGGAGCACTGCAGAGAGGAAATCCATACAAGACCCCGCTTCTGCTCTCGAGAGTAGTCCCAGTCCAGAGAACCCTTACAGGTTGGTTGTTTTTCTTTGTGGTCTCTAAAAGCGAAATTCCACAGCTCAGATGTCTTCTTATTGTGTAAAAGTCTGTAAGTTTCACATTCTGGACTTCCTGGTACTTCATCAGTATAACTGTCAATAGCTTGTACCTCTCTACCTCTTGGTCTTAAAATCATCATACCACTGTCCTTTCCTTGTGCATCACAAATTTGCATGGTCTGGTCATTGTTAGTGAATGTCACCATCTGTGCAAACTTGTCATTGTTTAGTCTAACTGGTAGAGGCTTTTCTGCTCTTTTAATCCCATTTTTTTGACACTTGGATCCTTTGTTATGTGGTGTACTTCCTTTTTTGAACTGAAATTTGGACAGATATTTTAGTCTTTCTTTCCCCATATTATCTTATATTGAACAGCTACTCAGTAAATTGCAGTATGATTTTGTGAATATTTTTCACTTCAATATACTCACTTTAGGCCTTAGTTTTATTTATTTGTTTTAACCAGTTTTTGATCTTTTTAAGAGACCCCCCTCTTCTTTGAAGACAGCAGAAATGAACACAACCCCAGTCTGATAAAGAGACCATTATCTTAATCACCAAACACAAAGGAGTCCAATGTCTTGTTAATCTCTGCAGAGTAATTAATGAGCTAAATTTTGATACCCAATTGACCAGATACAGATTCCATTATAATTTTAAAAATTGAATTTTTTCATAAAAGTTAAGATTTCTCTACCCTAAATTTTTCATTAATTAACAATTCAAAATTTTTAACCAATTAATCAAAATGAAACAAATGATAAAAAAAGAACAATTAGCTATTCCCCTATCTAATGATACCAATCTTGTATATATATCATGTTTTAAAGCAAAGTTATGACGATTTGAAACTCATCACTTGTAACTCATATTTCACCATGAAATTGGTCAGTAATCATGATAATCCCAAGGGGGATTAAATCCTCCATTTCTCCGGCTCTCTCAGCCCTATAACTGTCTGCTTCGGACATTTTGTTGATTACTAATTAGGGCACCTGCTGTGCTAATTAGAGAGCAATTGAAGATAATAAAGTTGTCTTCAAGGTATCACACCGGTAATTGACCAATCAAAATGAACTTAGTCAAATGTAGGTCCATACATATAAAATAATTTTTTCTTTCTTTTGATGGTTTTTTTAATTTTCTTTTTTGCTATTTTTACAACTTTGGTACCTGTGCCTAGTAAATTTAATGTACTTTGTAAATAAAAAAAGTTTTTTGACAGGAACTATTTTTTTTCAGGACATAGGAGGCTACTTCCTGGGGTGCATCGGACCTGTATATAAACATGCTGAAAACACGTGGATTTGAGGGTAACCCTGTTTGCAGATGGAAAAAGTCAGAAAATGCCGTGTGGGTACCCTGTTTTTTGGACTCGGCCAATGAGAGAGGTAATGTTTAACAATTTCTGCTAAGTATTTTTTCATGAATAATTTTTCCTGATTTTTAAAGAATTTTTTTCCTATATAGAAACATATAGTGAAAATAATTACCGGTGTGATACCTTGAAGGAAATTGTAAATTTCACTATTTCCTGTTTTCTGGAACTTTCTCCCTTTCTATCCTCTCAATATGGCTGCTGTGACTGAGAACACATGGTTTGAGGAACAAAAACGATTTTTATTACAGAATTCTCAAATATTACATAATACACAATGCCGCATCTTCAATCACAACAATACTGCATGTAAATACATACAAACAACAGTTTTAATGCCCGGGGCTGCGAGGAAAACAAGAGTATATGTACATAGACTTTCATACATAGTCAATACACAAAATTTTAACATTTTACAAAGAAATATGCACATTTCACACCTTTGTCATAATACACATTGCATAAAAATAGAGCACCTGTCATATGAGCCACAGCGAATAAATAACAATAGACAAAGATGTAAACTTTTATACCCCAAAAATTGCTTAGGACATGGTCCATACCCTGATTGTATATTTTAAAAAGTATACAGGTAAATCACAAAATACAACACACTTTTTTTTAACTTAACTTCTTTGATAACTATGATCTACATGTTTCTTAGATTTCTTTGGTAATTTTGGATCTGTGAGAGATTTACAATAATTTTTTTCTTTCCTATCATCATACAATTGAAACCTTTGTTTTTTGTAAAATTTTCTTCTACATTTGTACAAAATTGATCTTTCTCTCTGCCTAAAATAATTCTGTCTATTTTGTTGCTGTTTCAGAAGATGTGCTACTTTACTTCCCTTGACAACAGGTGCCCCTACAGCCTTACACAGTTCTACAGTGGAATTGCCACATCCCTTATTTAAAGTATGAATAACTCTATGAATTCTTGGTTCAAAATTCCTACTGTAAGTTATACACTTAGAATTTGATCTGAGATATGCCCTATTTACAGATTCACATTTTTGAGTTGTAGTGTGAAATTTAATTCTAGATAAACTTTTTCGCCCTAATGTCAAATTGATACAGTCTCTTAGTAATTGTTCATCACTGTCAGACATTTTGATTTTAAAGTCCTTTGGCAACACCGATGAAGTCCAATGATTTCTTTTTAGACCACGACAAGCGAAAGAATGTCTCTGGCACGGTTTACCACACTCACCTCGATAGCACGATATGATGGCATCAACAGCATAGGACAGGGCATTGGTAAGTTTTTGCATATCCCCACCAAAATACTTGTGAGCTTTTTCATATTCTGATCGACATCTGGTTTTTAGGTCCTGGGCGAATCGTTTCTTAGCTGTCTCTGTCTGCTTTGGTACGGCCTGGAAACATGCGCTCACCGAAGGGGGCTTTGCTGGTTTCCTTCCTCTGGGACTCGAAGAAGTGCCTCAGGTCCTTCAGGTTTTCGATGTTTTTTCCCTGCTTTATGGATGCTCCCTGGGATGCCGCACTGTCTCCGTCTGTTGTTAGGTGTGATATGGTAAGAGGGTCTTCATCCTTGTTCAGTTCTTCTATACATTCAGCTGCCCACTGTTTTTCATTACCAATGTTTGTCTGTTGTGTAAGATTGGCAGTGCATCCTGTGTGCCCGGGACAGGTAACTTGTTCGCCTTTCCCCCTCATATATTCACCCTTCTTGCATAACTTATTTCCACAAAACACTGAAATAATTTTTTTCTCACTAGTAACATTTTCACACATAGTATAAGTCACTTGTGTACCTGCTTGGAATGGTGTTTTCCCCAGTGCACTAAATGTAGAGTTGTTGTATCTGGCATCCCCCTCCGCGCGAATTGATGAATTAACAGGAAGTCCACATTCAGAGTTTTTTTCTTTCAAAGATTTTCTTATATCGGTCATACTCCTTCGGTTAACAGAACTAATTTTTTCCCCCACTTTATTCGCAGTGTCCTGCATAGAGCTTGCTGACGCTGGGTGGATATTGGCTGTCAGAAGCATTCCTCGCATCCCCTCGGTAGTCAGACTGGTACCCATACGCCCAAGGGACATGGCTACATTCAGCCGAGCAGCCCTCCTTCCTGGTCGGGTAGATGTTACTTCCTCGTATAACTTCTGATGGTGACTTTGGTAGCCACAGGTGGAGCACTGCAGAGAGGAAATCCATACAAGACCCCGCTTCTGCTCTCGAGAGTAGTCCCAGTCCAGAGAACCCTTACAGGTTGGTTGTTTTTCTTTGTGGTCTCTAAAAGCGAAATTCCACAGCTCAGATGTCTTCTTATTGTGTAAAAGTCTGTAAGTTTCACATTCTGGACTTCCTGGTACTTCATCAGTATAACTGTCAATAGCTTGTACCTCTCTACCTCTTGGTCTTAAAATCATCATACCACTGTCCTTTCCTTGTGCATCACAAATTTGCATGGTCTGGTCATTGTTAGTGAATGTCACCATCTGTGCAAACTTGTCATTGTTTAGTCTAACTGGTAGAGGCTTTTCTGCTCTTTTAATCCCATTTTTTTGACACTTGGATCCTTTGTTATGTGGTGTACTTCCTTTTTTGAACTGAAATTTGGACAGATATTTTAGTCTTTCTTTCCCCATATTATCTTATATTGAACAGCTACTCAGTAAATTGCAGTATGATTTTGTGAATATTTTTCACTTCAATATACTCACTTTAGGCCTTAGTTTTATTTATTTGTTTTAACCAGTTTTTGATCTTTTTAAGAGACCCCCCTCTTCTTTGAAGACAGCAGAAATGAACACAACCCCAGTCTGATAAAGAGACCATTATCTTAATCACCAAACACAAAGGAGTCCAATGTCTTGTTAATCTCTGCAGAGTAATTAATGAGCTAAATTTTGATACCCAATTGACCAGATACAGATTCCATTATAATTTTAAAAATTGAATTTTTTCATAAAAGTTAAGATTTCTCTACCCTAAATTTTTCATTAATTAACAATTCAAAATTTTTAACCAATTAATCAAAATGAAACAAATGATAAAAAAAGAACAATTAGCTATTCCCCTATCTAATGATACCAATCTTGTATATATATCATGTTTTAAAGCAAAGTTATGACGATTTGAAACTCATCACTTGTAACTCATATTTCACCATGAAATTGGTCAGTAATCATGATAATCCCAAGGGGGATTAAATCCTCCATTTCTCCGGCTCTCTCAGCCCTATAACTGTCTGCTTCGGACATTTTGTTGATTACTAATTAGGGCACCTGCTGTGCTAATTAGAGAGCAATTGAAGATAATAAAGTTGTCTTCAAGGTATCACACCGGTAATTGACCAATCAAAATGAACTTAGTCAAATGTAGGTCCATATATAAAATAATTTTTTCTTTCTTTTGATGGTTTTTTTAATTTTCTTTTTTGCTATTTTTACAACTTTGGTACCTGTGCCTAGTAAATTTAATGTACTTTGTAAATAAAAAAAGTTTTTTGACAGGAACTATTTTTTTTCAGGACATAGGAGGCTACTTCCTGGGGTGCATCGGACCTGTTTATAAACATGCTGAAAACACGTGGATTTGAGGGTAACCCTGTTTGCAGATGGAAAAAGTCAGAAAATGCCGTGTGGGTACCCTGTTTTTTGGACTCGGCCAATGAGAGAGGTAATGTTTAACAATTTCTGCTAAGTATTTTTTCATGAATAATTTTTCCTGATTTTTAAAGAATTTTTTTCCTATATAGAAACATATAGTGAAAATAATTACCGGTGTGATACCTTGAAGGAAATTGTAAATTTCACTATTTCCTGTTTTCTGGAACTTTCTCCCTTTCTATCCTCTCAATATGGCTGCTGTGACTGAGAACACATGAGAACACATGGTTTGAGGAACAAAAACGATTTTTATTACAGAATTCTCAAATATTACATAATACACAATGCCGCATCTTCAATCACAACAATACTGCATGTAAATACATACAAACAACAGTTTTAATGCCCGGGGCTGCGAGGAAAACAAGAGTATATGTACATAGACTTTCATACATAGTCAATACACAAAATTTTAACATTTTACAAAGAAATATGCACATTTCACACCTTTGTCATAATACACATTGCATAAAAATAGAGCACCTGTCATATGAGCCACAGCGAATAAATAACAATAGACAAAGATGTAAACTTTTATACCCCAAAAATTGCTTAGGACATGGTCCATACCCTGATTGTATATTTTAAAAAGTATACAGGTAAATCACAAAATACAACACACTTTTTTTTAACTTAACTTCTTTGATAACTATGATCTACATGTTTCTTAGATTTCTTTGGTAATTTTGGATCTGTGAGAGATTTACAATAATTTTTTTCTTTCCTATCATCATACAATTGAAACCTTTGTTTTTTGTAAAATTTTCTTCTACATTTGTACAAAATTGATCTTTCTCTCTGCCTAAAATAATTCTGTCTATTTTGTTGCTGTTTCAGAAGATGTGCTACTTTACTTCCCTTGACAACAGGTGCCCCTACAGCCTTACACAGTTCTACAGTGGAATTGCCACATCCCTTATTTAAAGTATGAATAACTCTATGAATTCTTGGTTCAAAATTCCTACTGTAAGTTATACACTTAGAATTTGATCTGAGATATGCCCTATTTACAGATTCACATTTTTGAGTTGTAGTGTGAAATTTAATTCTAGATAAACTTTTTCGCCCTAATGTCAAATTGATACAGTCTCTTAGTAATTGTTCATCACTGTCAGACATTTTGATTTTAAAGTCCTTTGGCAACACCGATGAAGTCCAATGATTTCTTTTTAGACCACGACAAGCGAAAGAATGTCTCTGGCACGGTTTACCACACTCACCTCGATAGCACGATATGATGGCATCAACAGCATAGGACAGGGCATTGGTAAGTTTTTGCATATCCCCACCAAAATACTTGTGAGCTTTTTCATATTCTGATCGACATCTGGTTTTTAGGTCCTGGGCGAATCGTTTCTTAGCTGATTCTCTGTCTGCTTTGGTACGGCCTGGAAACATGCGCTCACCGAAGGGGGCTTTGCTGGTTTCCTTCCTCTGGGACTCGAAGAAGTGCCTCAGGTCCTTCAGGTTTTCGATGTTTTTTCCCTGCTTTATGGATGCTCCCTGGGATGCCGCACTGTCTCCGTCTGTTGTTAGGTGTGATATGGTAAGAGGGTCTTCATCCTTGTTCAGTTCTTCTATACATTCAGCTGCCCACTGTTTTTCATTACCAATGTTTGTCTGTTGTGTAAGATTGGCAGTGCATCCTGTGTGCCCGGGACAGGTAACTTGTTCGCCTTTCCCCCTCATATATTCACCCTTCTTGCATAACTTATTTCCACAAAACACTGAAATAATTTTTTTCTCACTAGTAACATTTTCACACATAGTATAAGTCACTTGTGTACCTGCTTGGAATGGTGTTTTCCCCAGTGCACTAAATGTAGAGTTGTTGTATCTGGCATCCCCCTCCGCGCGAATTGATGAATTAACAGGAAGTCCACATTCAGAGTTTTTTTCTTTCAAAGATTTTCTTATATCGGTCATACTCCTTCGGTTAACAGAACTAATTTTTTCCCCCACTTTATTCGCAGTGTCCTGCATAGAGCTTGCTGACGCTGGGTGGATATTGGCTGTCAGAAGCATTCCTCGCATCCCCTCGGTAGTCAGACTGGTACCCATACGCCCAAGGGACATGGCTACATTCAGCCGAGCAGCCCTCCTTCCTGGTCGGGTAGATGTTACTTCCTCGTATAACTTCTGATGGTGACTTTGGTAGCCACAGGTGGAGCACTGCAGAGAGGAAATCCATACAAGACCCCGCTTCTGCTCTCGAGAGTAGTCCCCCAGTCCAGAGAACCCTTACAGGTTGGTTGTTTTTCTTTGTGGTCTCTAAAAGCGAAATTCCACAGCTCAGATGTCTTCTTATTGTGTAAAAGTCTGTAAGTTTCACATTCTGGACTTCCTGGTACTTCATCAGTATAACTGTCAATAGCTTGTACCTCTCTACCTCTTGGTCTTAAAATCATCATACCACTGTCCTTTCCTTGTGCATCACAAATTTGCATGGTCTGGTCATTGTTAGTGAATGTCACCATCTGTGCAAACTTGTCATTGTTTAGTCTAACTGGTAGAGGCTTTTCTGCTCTTTTAATCCCATTTTTTTGACACTTGGATCCTTTGTTATGTGGTGTACTTCCTTTTTTGAAACTGAAATTTGGACAGATATTTTAGTCTTTCTTTCCCCATATTATCTTATATTGAACAGCTACTCAGTAAATTGCAGTATGATTTTGTGAATATTTTTCACTTCAATATACTCACTTTAGGCCTTAGTTTTATTTATTTGTTTTAACCAGTTTTTGATCTTTTTAAGAGACCCCCCTCTTCTTTGAAGACAGCAGAAATGAACACAACCCCATTCTGATAAAGAGACCATTATCTTAATCACCAAACACAAAGGAGCCCAATGTCTTGTTAATCTCTGCAGAGTAATTAATGAGCTAAATTTTGATACCCAATTGACCAGATACAGATTCCATTATAATTTTAAAAATTGAATTTTTTCATAAAAGTTAAGATTTCTCTACCCTAAATTTTTCATTAATTAACAATTCAAAATTTTTAACCAATTAATCAAAATGAAACAAATGATAAAAAAAGAACAATTAGCTATTCCCCTATCTAATGATACCAATCTTGTATATATATCATGTTTTAAAGCAAAGTTATGACGATTTGAAACTCATCACTTGTAACTCATATTTCACCATGAAATTGGTCAGTAATCATGATAATCCCAAGGGGGATTAAATCCTCCATTTCTCCGGCTCTCTCAGCCCTATAACTTCTGCTTCGGACATTTTGTTGATTACTAATTAGGGCACCTGCTGTGCTAATTAGAGAGCAATTGAAGATAATAAAGTTGTCTTCAAGGTATCACACCGGTAATTGACCAATCAAAATGAACTTAGTCAAATGTAGGTCCATACATATAAAATAATTTTTTCTTTCTTTTGATGGTTTTTTTAATTTTCTTTTTTGCTATTTTTACAACTTTGGTACCTGTGCCTAGTAAATTTAATGTACTTTGTAAATAAAAAAAGTTTTTTGACAGGAACTATTTTTTTTCAGGACATAGGAGGCTACTTCCTGGGGTGCATCGGACCTGTTTATAAACATGCTGAAAACACGTGGATTTGAGGGTAACCCTGTTTGCAGATGGAAAAAGTCAGAAAATGCCGTGTGGGTACCCTGTTTTTTGGACTCGGCCAATGAGAGAGGTAATGTTTAACAATTTCTGCTAAGTATTTTTTCATGAATAATTTTTCCTGATTTTTAAAGAATTTTTTTCCTATATAGAAACATATAGTGAAAATAATTACCGGTGTGATACCTTGAAGGAAATTGTAAATTTCACTATTTCCTGTTTTCTGGAACTTTCTCCCTTTCTATCCTCTCAATATGGCTGCTGTGACTGAGAACACATGGTTTGAGGAACAAAAACGATTTTTATTACAGAATTCTCAAATATTACATAATACACAATGCCGCATCTTCAATCACAACAATACTGCATGTAAATACATACAAACAACAGTTTTAATGCCCGGGGCTGCGAGGAAAACAAGAGTATATGTACATAGACTTTCATACATAGTCAATACACAAAATTTTAACATTTTACAAAGAAATATGCACATTTCACACCTTTGTCATAATACACATTGCATAAAAATAGAGCACCTGTCATATGAGCCACAGCGAATAAATAACAATAGACAAAGATGTAAACTTTTATACCCCAAAAATTGCTTAGGACATGGTCCATACCCTGATTGTATATTTTAAAAAGTATACAGGTAAATCACAAAATACAACACACTTTTTTTTAACTTAACTTCTTTGATAACTATGATCTACATGTTTCTTAGATTTCTTTGGTAATTTTGGATCTGTGAGAGATTTACAATAATTTTTTTCTTTCCTATCATCATACAATTGAAACCTTTGTTTTTTGTAAAATTTTCTTCTACATTTGTACAAAATTGATCTTTCTCTCTGCCTAAAATAATTCTGTCTATTTTGTTGCTGTTTCAGAAGATGTGCTACTTTACTTCCCTTGACAACAGGTGCCCCTACAGCCTTACACAGTTCTACAGTGGAATTGCCACATCCCTTATTTAAAGTATGAATAACTCTATGAATTCTTGGTTCAAAATTCCTACTGTAAGTTATACACTTAGAATTTGATCTGAGATATGCCCTATTTACAGATTCACATTTTTGAGTTGTAGTGTGAAATTTAATTCTAGATAAACTTTTTCGCCCTAATGTCAAATTGATACAGTCTCTTAGTAATTGTTCATCACTGTCAGACATTTTGATTTTAAAGTCCTTTGGCAACACCGATGAAGTCCAATGATTTCTTTTTAGACCACGACAAGCGAAAGAATGTCTCTGGCACGGTTTACCACACTCACCTCGATAGCACGATATGATGGCATCAACAGCATAGGACAGGGCATTGGTAAGTTTTTGCATATCCCCACCAAAATACTTGTGAGCTTTTTCATATTCTGATCGACATCTGGTTTTTAGGTCCTGGGCGAATCGTTTCTTAGCTGATTCTCTGTCTGCTTTGGTACGGCCTGGAAACATGCGCTCACCGAAGGGGGCTTTGCTGGTTTCCTTCCTCTGGGACTCGAAGAAGTGCCTCAGGTCCTTCAGGTTTTCGATGTTTTTTCCCTGCTTTATGGATGCTCCCTGGGATGCCGCACTGTCTCCGTCTGTTGTTAGGTGTGATATGGTAAGAGGGTCTTCATCCTTGTTCAGTTCTTCTATACATTCAGCTGCCCACTGTTTTTCATTACCAATGTTTGTCTGTTGTGTAAGATTGGCAGTGCATCCTGTGTGCCCGGGACAGGTAACTTGTTCGCCTTTCCCCCTCATATATTCACCCTTCTTGCATAACTTATTTCCACAAAACACTGAAATAATTTTTTTCTCACTAGTAACATTTTCACACATAGTATAAGTCACTTGTGTACCTGCTTGGAATGGTGTTTTCCCCAGTGCACTAAATGTAGAGTTGTTGTATCTGGCATCCCCCTCCGCGCGAATTGATGAATTAACAGGAAGTCCACATTCAGAGTTTTTTTCTTTCAAAGATTTTCTTATATCGGTCATACTCCTTCGGTTAACAGAACTAATTTTTTCCCCCACTTTATTCGCAGTGTCCTGCATAGAGCTTGCTGACGCTGGGTGGATATTGGCTGTCAGAAGCATTCCTCGCATCCCCTCGGTAGTCAGACTGGTACCCATACGCCCAAGGGACATGGCTACATTCAGCCGAGCAGCCCTCCTTCCTGGTCGGGTAGATGTTACTTCCTCGTATAACTTCTGATGGTGACTTTGGTAGCCACAGGTGGAGCACTGCAGAGAGGAAATCCATACAAGACCCCGCTTCTGCTCTCGAGAGTAGTCCCAGTCCAGAGAACCCTTACAGGTTGGTTGTTTTTCTTTGTGGTCTCTAAAAGCGAAATTCCACAGCTCAGATGTCTTCTTATTGTGTAAAAGTCTGTAAGTTTCACATTCTGGACTTCCTGGTACTTCATCAGTATAACTGTCAATAGCTTGTACCTCTCTACCTCTTGGTCTTAAAATCATCATACCACTGTCCTTTCCTTGTGCATCACAAATTTGCATGGTCTGGTCATTGTTAGTGAATGTCACCATCTGTGCAAACTTGTCATTGTTTAGTCTAACTGGTAGAGGCTTTTCTGCTCTTTTAATCCCATTTTTTTGACACTTGGATCCTTTGTTATGTGGTGTACTTCCTTTTTTAAACTGAAATTTGGACAGATATTTTAGTCTTTCTTTCCCCATATTATCTTATATTGAACAGCTACTCAGTAAATTGCAGTATGATTTTGTGAATATTTTTCACTTCAATATACTCACTTTAGGCCTTAGTTTTATTTATTTGTTTTAACCAGTTTTTGATCTTTTTAAGAGACCCCCCTCTTCTTTGAAGACAGCAGAAATGAACACAACCCCATTCTGATAAAGAGACCATTATCTTAATCACCAAACACAAAGGAGCCCAATGTCTTGTTAATCTCTGCAGAGTAATTAATGAGCTAAATTTTGATACCCAATTGACCAGATACAGATTCCATTATAATTTTAAAAATTGAATTTTTTCATAAAAGTTAAGATTTCTCTACCCTAAATTTTTCATTAATTAACAATTCAAAATTTTTAACCAATTAATCAAAATGAAACAAATGATAAAAAAAGAACAATTAGCTATTCCCCTATCTAATGATACCATACCAACTTGTATATATATCATGTTTTAAAGCAAAGTTATGACGATTTGAAACTCATCACTTGTAACTCATATTTCACCATGAAATTGGTCAGTAATCATGATAATCCCAAGGGGGATTAAATCCTCCATTTCTCCGGCTCTCTCAGCCCTATAACTGTCTGCTTCGGACATTTTGTTGATTACTAATTAGGGCACCTGCTGTGCTAATTAGAGAGCAATTGAAGATAATAAAGTTGTCTTCAAGGTATCACACCGGTAATTGACCAATCAAAATGAACTTAGTCAAATGTAGGTCCATACATATAAAATAATTTTTTCTTTCTTTTGATGGTTTTTTTAATTTTCTTTTTTGCTATTTTTA